GCGCTTGCGCGCGAAAATTAAATTCTAGTCCCATAATAAAATTGAGATGAAATGTATGTGGCATCAAACTATTCGTAACGTGATTGGTCGAATATATCATAAGCATGAAAATATATGCAAACCCTTTAGTTAGGCACGCGCTTGCGGGCGCAAAATTCAATTCTAATAAAATAAAAAATCTCTTATCTACAGTTTATGTAAAAATTATTCTGATGCGCCCTGGTGAGTATAAACACAAGCTGTGGAATTCATAATTTTCACTATAGTGTCCAATCTATCATAAGATTAGCATGCATCCTCATATTATTTATTCTCTGGCCGTCCGCTTTTTACATGAGAAAAAAGTTAAAATCTAAAAATCTGGGTCGCTATAGTATGTGCTGATTATTTTTAATAATTTTAAATAGAAATCATCAAGATAATTAATAGTCATTTGTTAATACGTGTAATTAAGAGTATTTACTACTATTATAAAACATCATAAGAATAAAAAATCGAAATAAATTTGAAAAAAAATTTGCAACCTCAAAATACCGTTCTGCTTACGGTAAATACACACTCGGTGGTCTGGCTTGAGAACGGAACTTGGCGCCAAACTCTACCGAGTTTGTTGATTTTGTCAGTAAATTATTCAGTTGTAATTTTATAATATTTATAGTTTTCTATCGAGTCACGTTTATGATTTTTGTTATTTAGTTTTGTTAATAAATCAAAGGTCAATCGAATATCTAAGCGTATTAATAATCACATTAATTCTGATCTGCATCCGAATCCCTCCCTCTCTCCATAAACCAGCATACTAAGCGACACCGTGGTTTACCTGTCTTTCCGCTTTAGCTACCAGTCTCAGGTTCTAGTTTTTATTGAGTTTTAGAGTATTTTTGTTTTGAGTTACATTTATTGAGTTTTGGTAATTTCTTTTGTGTTAAAATTATCTGGCACCTTGGGTTTTAGTTGAGACTGGAAGCAAGATTGAGAGACAGAAGTATAACCAACATTAAGTAATCTGCTACGTAGTAGTAAATCTACCCGTTGTGAAAATTTTGGTTATAATGCATACATACAGATATACGGACATCATCGCGAAAACATTCAGGGAAGCTTCCTAGGACCTCAAAGCGTCAAGATCTGATGAGAAACCGATTTTCGAAAAACCGGATAAAACCAATAACTTCCTGATTTTTGAAAATTTTCAATTTTCTTAGCGAGAAGTTAAGAATCGATTTTTCGAAACCGCGAAACCCATGTAATCCCTTAATGATTTTCTTGAAAAGAAAAAGGTTAATGAATTCGTTTAAAAATAATTACAATTTATTTTTTGTTAACTATAAATTATAGTTATCTATTATTGGTTCAATTTAATCTTATACTGTTCAGTAAAGAATTTTTAGTAGATTCATAAAAATCTTACTATTGTATTTGTCCTCATGACGTAACTTTTCAAAAATTTTGCTATATTTTGACTTAACTTGACGATCTGAATCAGAAATTACATATGGTTCAAAATTCCATATGTATAGATTGCGGAAAGTTTGACGACCATTTTCGGTAGTGTACGATATGTTTGACGACATTTGTCATGTTTGATGTATGTTTGTCGTCAAAACAAAAAGCATACGATGGCAGTTTTTGTGACGACTCAAAACTGCCATTTAATCCAAACGGTAGGTTTGAAGACTGTGTATATGGATAAATGTACATATAAATTATGAATGTATATATCTTTATACGGTTGGTTAGGCAACATTCCTTGTAACTTTTTTGACAGTTTCAACGATATTTGATAAGGCCGGCGTAACTACCCTTTATTTTTACCAAATAATAGTTTCAAAATTATTAAAAAAATACGCCAAGAAAAATTGCATTCATGATAAATAATATTTCAAACGCTACGGCTGAAATATTCTATTTATAAAGCGGCAATCAAGGCTACATACTTCTCCTCAGTTCCAGCTATCTACCTCCAACTAGATCCCCACTTTTAGTCAAAATTGTCTTTGTATAAGATCTTATATAAACCTCTAGGATAGGCTGAATCGAGACTAGATGAGTTGGGGCACCAATCCGGATGATGCAAAATGTCAACTTTTTTAATAACAATTTTGTTTTCTGTTATTATGATGCGGGACTTGTATTTATACTTCAAGAGACATATTAAGAATAATATTTAACATAACTTTATATGAATATAGCCATTTTTGTGATTGTAAATCGATTTTCATTGATAGTTCAGCGTGAGCGTCAATTGTAACACTAGAACTAGTAGCAATTGTACTACTCAGAGTCACGTATGGGATCTGCGCAAACTGGATGCGCTACAAATCTACTCTGGGATAGCGTAGTTTGTTAGTCAACTATAAATGTCTAGTAATTTATATTAAAGATCCGAATATATGATATATTTATAATATATTATAAGGTTAAATACTTGACTTTAAGAGTTAATAAAGTATAATAGTATGTATATAATAAAAGCAATTTGATGAAAAATATCTATTTCGTTTCGTGTTACAATTTCCCCTGCACTGTGTTACAATTGCAACTCATGCGCGCCGCCATCTTGGGCCTTGACGTTAGTTGAATGAATTGATTTTTTTATTAGTTAATATTAATTTTTCATTCATTAACTAAGTCGGTTACATAATAGATACTATAAACGAACTTTCCCAGCGGTTGTTAGTTTAATATCATGAAAATAACAAAAATAATGGAGAGAATAAATTTTTTTGTAACAATTGCACCACCTCTCCCCTCTGCTAACCTAATTCTACGTAAAAACTTTATTTTACTTGTCTCAGATTTTCTTCTGCAGGAAGTCACTCTTTTAACCGATACGCTATAAATTTTAGACTTCTAAGGGATGTTATGATGTTGATCTATTCCAGATTTAACTTAGAAATATTCTTTCCCTGAAATAAATTCCATTTCTTAAATGTATAACTTGTACCAGTATCTGTATCGTTGTACATTATAAAATATTATACGAGAAATTCATACTTTGTTTAATAAAAAATATCAGGATACCATAAATTAACTCCATACCAACCTTAGAAGGGTAATTGCATTACCCCTTTAAAAGAGAAACCTAAACTATTATCATATTTTCCAACAATCGTCACCATAAAAATTGCTAGGAAATGATGTTGAAAATCTACTCACCATAAAATGTTAACCCTCAGGACCCGAATTATTTTACTTAAAATTTACTCCACCCTTTAGTTATTTCTAAAATAATATTTTAAAGCTTCTACCTACAGTAAATTGTCTATTCGTTTTACCCGCAAGAATAGTGAGGCAATATCTAGTGTCCTCAAAGTAACCTTTTTCTATTTTTAACTTTATGACGTCCGGTACACGTGCCTAGCCACCTACTCCAGGATGGCTTCTTCTCCGCTATCTTGACTATAGTCCACTTACAAGCCATTACCGTGAGATTTACTACCCGCATGATCTCTTCTTCTCCGTATTTGGATCAAAAGAGGGGATGTAAGCAATTATCCCAACTATCGTTGCTCAGTAGACAAAGAATCGGTACGGTAGATAAAGGCCAAAAATCCAGAGTGGCAGCAGAGTGGCGGGCGGTGGTCGAGACCGGGCAGTCGACGACGACCGCGACAATGAGAAGAAGCCACCCAAATACAGTCGTCCGTGTTGGTATCACGGGTATTCAGATCGAATTGTTCGCGTTAGTATCATCGGTACTTATTTAACGTCATTCGCGTCAACACTATTTGATACCCGGTTAACATCATCCGCGTTAGTACTAGCAGTATCTGAAGTATTGTCTTTTGAGTTGATAAAATCGGTATTATATACGTGAGTATAATTGAATTATTCACGAAAGCTTCAATTCATGATCAATATTAAAAATTCTCATAACAACGCTACAACGGTACTCACTTTAATCCCTTTAATTCGATTATTATAGAAGATCAATTATTTTATTCGCGTGTGACGGTTACTTTTCTTTTATAAAACTACCGAACTTATTAATTTAAAATTCATATTAAGTTTATGGTAAGATTTACAACATCCCCAGTATACTAAGGTTACTATTCGTTTTTACAGTTAATAGTTGTAAAATAAACTAACTTAAAATTACAAAATTATTTTAATTTGCCGGGATAGGGTGATAAAGAACTAAAAACACCAATTAAGTAATATTGTCATTTTAATAAAACAATTATCACAGCACAGAGTCGAACACATGATTCCATGAACTTAATTGAACATTTGAATGTTTTAGATCACATTGACTGTTTTATTGTATTTAATTTAATTAATTAATAGCATCATTGATATAAACTGTTAATTATTTGAGTGTAGACAATATTACTGAAATGTAGTTATTTTGAACAATTGCGTTACAATAAAATTAACATGAACACGACAATTGGTTGAGCGCAAGATGAACATGACGAATGCGTTTTTGAGACTGACTATTTTCCAGGTGAAAATATAAAATATAATTTTGAATTAATATAAGCCGCCTTGAAATGTCGGTTTTTGGTGACTCATCACCTAAGCCGAGTTTGTTTTGAAGTAATTAGAAATCATTAAATGATTGTAATTAATGGTTAATGATTAATTAAGAATTACTCTGTTATTATTAGCTGAATGCAATTGATAAATAATAATGAACACAATGAGTTTAGATGAAGGATTAAGATAAGCTTGATCATAGAACGTAAAATTGAACACAGAATAAGATCATTTTTGTATATCAATAGGTCTACATTTTACTTAATTTATTTTGCAGAAAAAACATGATAAAAACAAAGAGAATGATGCTTCAGGGACATCTCAATAATTTTGAACTATAATCAATGAAACACGGCATACTTTAAGCACATTGATATTTTGTTTTTTTAGTTTATATTGATAGATATTAACATTTATCCTTATTATTATAAGTTCATCTTATCTTTTTTGAATATATTACTCAACTTGAAGTTTTGAAACTGAATTAATTGCTTTTTTATTTAGGGTAGTAGGTACAAAAATATCCTGATTTCAATTACCCATACTTTTACTAAATATTTTTTGACACATAGTTTCACGTATATTAAAAATATTTTTACGTAAATTTGTCAATGGATTTCTCCATAAATTTAAAAATTTATTTTCCATTTAATTCTATATATTTTTGCATATATTTTCGTATATATTTGTGCATATATTTTGGCATATATTTCTGGGCAAATTTTCATATCGTTTTGATATTATTTTTTTATATACCGAATATATTTTCGCATATATTTTTGCATATATTTTCATATATTGAGACACTGCAAAATGTCCCGACTTTATCAGCCTGGCGAACTACCACCCGAAATTTCCGTTACCGACACTAGCTAAAATAATGTGTAGCTCCCGTGACGTCACAGGACGACACGAGGAGGGGAAAATCAGCTACGAACCTCAGAACATGAGCATTGATCGACACTTCGATCTATCCCCCGGTGTGAACCACCACGCTAGGTATTTCTTAGTCATTTTTACCACTATACTACTATACAACTATTACTACTATTAGGTGATTACTCACCAGAACCTTAAATAATCTAAAAGTTCATTGTCTAAATAATAATCTAAACTAATATTTTATTTATTTATTTATTTATTTATTGATAATAAATGCCAAGGCACAGGCCAAATGACAAGATATAAAATACAGTAATTTTTGTGGAACTGGAAAATTTACAAAATATGTAGGTAAATAACAAACAAAACTATAAAGTAATATATAAATCAATTTAGCTCAACAATATTATGAATTCAAAAGGTATATTTGGTAATAATTTAAGATTAAATTAATGAGATTTAAATTAAATAAGATTTAAATAAGTCCATTTCTTATTTGGAATAAAAGTTAACTAACATCTTGTAAAAACTAACTAAACAAAATAATATGTTGTAATATTGCACATAAACTTAGAAATATTAAACTTAGAAATATTAATGTATCTATAAATCATTTGACGAAAGGTAATCGAACAATTTCATTTTAAAGACTTCTAATGAACTCGCATCTAAGACATCTGGTGGAAGTTTTTGCCATAACCGTATTGCTGATATAACAAAAGAATGTTCTAGGCAAGATGTTGAGAATTTAGGTATTAAGAAATTTACATTATTATTTTTAATTGCAATTCTTTCTGAACGCCTAGAATCATCATCGACGAACATTTTCCTTAAATAAATAGGCTTACCGATGGTTAACAATTTGTAAAAGTAAGTTGCCAAGAAATGCAATCTTCTAGATTTGACTGACAACCAGCATAATTGTTGTCTATAAGGCGTGATATGTTCATCTCGTTTTAAATTGTAGATAAATCTAATAGCACTATTTATGGCACGTTGTAATTTTAAATCATTCTCAACATTTGAATCAATAAGAACAACAGAACAATAATCAATTAATGGTAAAATAGTAGCTATAACCAATAGTTTCCTTATTTCCATAGTAAATATATTTTTTCGAATTTTCAAACAATAAAGTGCAGAATTTATCTTTTTAATAATATAAGAGATATGATTTTTCCAGGAGAGATCATTATTTATGTATAGTCCAAGGCATTTAGTTGAATTTACGTAAGGTAGTTTATACTATCAATAACAATAGGTGGACCAGTTTAATTGCTTTAATTTACTATTTGTTCCAATGATCATTGCTTTAGTTTTATTGAGATATACAGCCAAACCATGTTCGCCAGCCCAATCGAAAATAGCTTGTGCATCCTTTGTGACTAGATTAACAGCATTTTGCAAATTACTAACCGAGGAATGATAATAAATATATTTATTGTTACGGCCAGCGTAACTAGCCCTATATATATATATATATATATATATATATATATATATATATATATAGTAAAATGCTGAAATAGCGGAAAAACTGAGGATCAGGTTTAGATCTGAATATCTCAATTAAAATACAAAAATTATTATTAAAAATAACACTAGAGTTTATTTAACTATAAATACAATCAATATTTAACTTGTTTAATATCGGATTGGTTAAATAAAAGCGGATATGTTATACACAGCGTGGTTAGCAAAAGCGAAGCCGTTTAGCACGTGGTTGAGTAAACTGCCGGCACTGTCAAAAGCGGTAATTACTGCACAATTAATTCTAATTAATCTGAAACAAACTAATTAAATTAAATGCAATCAATTAAAGCGAATTAAACTATAAGAATTAGCGAACAGCGGTTAATTAGCAAGGCGAAAATTATATATGCGAAAAAGCGACTTGTTCGTACGAAAGATGGATGCGAAAGATAATAATAATAATTCGTCTTCTTTCTCGTCTTGGAGAAGAAGGCTACTGCGCATGTCTAGCGAGAGCGATAGCCAATCAATAAATTCGTTCTATTGATGTCGACATCGATAGCCAATGGTAAAATTCGATACCTGTGGCGTGATCAGTCAGGCGGTTTTACGCATGCGGGTGAGAAATAGCGGGAACGATGGCTTGTCAGGTGCGTGTTGTAAATTTGGGGAGCCCACAGTGACGTATTGCTCACTGAGTGGGCCTGTTCACTGAACATTCTCCCCGGCGTTGGCGGCTGCGTCGACAAGATCATCCTCTTCATGCGTCAGCGGTAGGACACAAAGCTTTGTAATTGGGCGTACCAGCTCTGTGTTAACTGTCTTCACAGTTACCACGCGGATTTGTCCATCTTCTCCTGGATGGACAGCAATTACTTTGGCTAATGGCCACTTGGTTGGCGGAAGATCCTCAGTGGTGATCAGTACAACTGAACCCACCTTGATCAGGTTGTGTTGATGATGCCACTTTGAAATGGCCTGGTAGCGGTGGATGCAGTCCTGGTAGTAGCGTTTCCATAAGTGTTGCACCATTTGCTGGACTTGTTCCCAGTTCGATAGCCGAGCAGGTTGTAAATCTGTTAGCGATGGCTCTGGGATTGCGGTCAATGACTGTCCGATTAAGAAATGACCTGGAGTTAATACAGCCAGGTCAGCAGGATCTTCATTCAGCGGAGTAAGCGGTCTGGAGTTCAATATTGCTTCGATTTGAGCCAGTAGCGTTGAATACTGCTCAAGCGTCAATAGCGAATCTCCGATTGTTCTTCTTAGGTGAAATTTAATTGATTTCACTGCGGCTTCCCACTTTCCTCCAAAATGTGGTGCTCTAGGCGGATTGAACTTCCAGTTCGTGCCATCTTGAGCGATCAAACTTGATAATTCTCGTAAAGTGCGGGATCCTGCAGCGAATAGTCGTTTCAGCTCTTTATCTGCTCCTACAAAATTGGTTCCACAGTCAGAATATAGCGTGTGGCAGATACCTCGGCGACTAGTGAAGCGGCGATAAGCGGCGATGAAGGCGGCTGCGGTGTAGTCAGTGACTAGTTCCAAATGTACATCTGAACTGAACATGCATACAAATACTGCAATCCAGCCTTTGTATGTTTTTGCTCCACGTCCTTGAATCGTTTTTAGCGTGATAGGTCCAGCGTAGTCGAGCCCTGTATGCAAAAAGGCTCGAGTTGGCTGTACTCGTGCGGCAGGTAGTTGACCCATTAATTGTTGAGCACGTTCTCCACGATGTCTCGTGCAGATTACACAGCGTAATATAAAAGATCTGACTGGAACACGGCCTCCAATGATCCAGACACTTTTTCGTAAGTCAGCGAGCGTGAGCTGGGTACCTCCGTGAAGCGTTTTGCGGTGCGAATCATCAATCAATATTGATGTAAGCGGTGAATATCGTGGCAAGATTGCTGGATGCTTCTCTTCTGGGTCCAGCAATGCGTTTTTCAAGCGGCCACCGACTCTCAGGACCCCCTGATGATCGATGAACGGAGTCAGCTGGGTGATGTTGTTATTTTTTGGCAGATCATCACCATCTTGAAGCGTATGAATCTCTCTAGCGAAATATTGTCCTTGAGTGAACTTAATCAAGGTCAATTTTGCGCGCTCCAGGTCTGATGGAGTAAGCGGGTGGGCCAGCGAAGATTGTGGAACTCTTTTGAAGCGGTCGATGACACGATGCCAGATGCTGAGCTTCCTAAGTAATGGAAACAGCTGCGTGTAATGCGATAGTAATTGTTGGAGCAGGCAATTTTCTGCTTTCCAAGTTACTAGTGTCAGACCTTGGCGTTCTTCTCGATGCGTTGCGTTGTCGGTTGGAGGCTCCAGAGTGGGCCAAGAGGATTCTGGTTCATGAAGCCACGTAGGTCCATGCCACCAGAGAGCGTGTTGCTTTAATTTTAGCGTAGGTATACCTCTTGAAGCGCAGTCAGCTGGGTTTTGTTTTCCTGGAATGAATTTCCAGGAGACATCTCTAAGCGTTTCTTGGAAAGATCTCAGTCCAGAGATTTATCCTTACATTTTCAAGCGACTGAACTTCTTTAACATGAAGTATCAGTTGTGTTAGCAACCATGCGGCAGATAATTCCAAGCGTGGAATTGTCATAGTCTTCAGCGGTGCTACTTGCGTTTTTGAACACAAAGGTGACACTTTTGTGTTCCCATCAGCGTCAGTGACTCTCAAATAAACAGCGGCAGCCATAGCGTTCTGCGAAGCGTCTGAGAACCCGTGCAATTCCATGGTTGTTCCAGGTGCTATATTATTCCAGCGTGGAATGCGGATTGATTCTATGTTGCGGAGATCATCATGGTATCCAGTCCATTTGTGTATGAGTGATGGTGAGAGTTGCTCGTCCCATGACACTCTATCTAGCCACAGATCTTGCATGAAGATCTTTGCTTTGACGAAAATTGGTGCGAGTAGTCCTAGCGGGTCATATAGCTTAGCAATTTCAGACAAAATAGCTCTTTTTGTCTTTGGCGTCTCTTGCGGTAGCGTGTACTTGAACTGGAGAGCGTCAGTGCGTGAATTCCAGTACATGCCCAGGACTTTTACTGGCGCATCACTGATTTCTTTAAGCGGTGTTTCTAGCTGCTTTTCTTGAGCGACTTCAGCGAGTAGTTTTGGACTATTGCTAGCCCATTTGGCAAGCGGGAAGCAGCCTGCTGCACACAGTGCTTTTGTTTGCACTGCCACCTCTATAGCGTCTTTTTCATTGTCTGCTCCACCGTAGATGTCATCTACGTAGCGTGTATTCAACATTGGAGCAACAGCTAGCGGAAAGCGGTGTCCTTCATCCTTCACAAGTTGAATGAGCACACGTACAGCGTCAAAAGGTGCACTAGCGGTTCCGTATGTGACTGTTTTGAGACAGTAAGCGTCTATTAAGTCATTCTCATCTATCCAGAGAATGCACTGAAGCGGCCAGTCCAGCGAGTCGACCTCAATCTGTCTGAACATCTTCGTGATGTCAGTAGCAAATAAAATCTTGTTGCAGCGGATTCTCAACATCACGTCAAAAATGTCAATTTGCGTTTTGGGTCCTGTGTGGAGAATATCATTCAATGAAATTCCTGTCGATGTTGCACAGGAACCATTGAACACTGTGCGGAGTTTCGTAGTGGTGCTGTCAAGCTTCAATACCCCATGGTGAGGCAAGAAGTAAGTGTTTGCGGGCAAGTCATTGATTGGAGCTCGTACCATGTGTCCTAGTTGAATATATTCTGCTATGAACGCGCGATACATGTCAGAATAATCCTTTTCTCGCGACAAGCGAGTTATTAATCTGCGGAGTGACCCCATGGCTGCGTTGATAGAGTCGCCAAGTTGACTCTCCGGGGCTTTAAGCGGTAATCTGACTACATAGCGTCCATCAGACTGTCGATAATGCGTTTGACGAAAGTGAACTTCACATTCGTCTTCCTCAGCGTAGTTGAGCGATGAATTTCCTGATGGAACTTCTTCCTGCTCCCAAAACTTAGCGATAGCGTCTTGTAATTCTGTATCAAGTGACGCATGTAATGCTGCGTGTGATGTTGAAGCGGTTTTTGCGGTGACAGCTCCATAGACAATCCAACCAAGCGTGGTGGATTGTGCAATAGGAGCATTGCGAGGTCCTCGTTGAATCTCTGCGTTCATGATCTGTGCGGCTGGTGATGCGTCTAGAATAATGTCTACAGGACGCGGCTGTAGATAATGCGGATCAGCTAATTGGAGATTCTCCAGATGCGGCCATTTCGGATCAGCGATCACGAACGATGGAAGATCTACCGTCAGTGTTGGTAGAATATGCATGCTGACATGCATTGATCCGGTCGTATACAGCGAACGAAGCTCAATTGTGCTCACACCTAGTGAGCTTCCTGCGGAGACATTTCCAATGCCCTTGAGCATGACCATGTCACGCTGTAGCGGTTGACCAAGCTTCTTGAAGAGCGTCTGTCTCATAAATGAGAGCTCTGAGCCTTGATCAATCAAAACTCTGGCGGTGATTAGATTGCCATTATGCGGGCGGACCTGGACCAATGCGGTAGCTAGTAAAACTTGAGCGGAAAGCGGATCTGAAATTATCAACAGTTAATGTTGAATTATAAGCGGTTTAATGGAACGGTTAGTTACCTTGTGCGGTGTCTGCTAGTGGCGGTGATGCTGATTTAGGCGATGCGTCTCGATGAATGGAAGTGTGATGACGTAGACTGCACTTCCTGCATCCTTGTGTGGTCTTACAATCAGCTACACGGTGTGGGCCCAAGCAGTTGTAACATAAGCGGTATTTCTCGACAATGTCGATGCGTTCCTCCACAGTAGCGGCCTTGAATATCGGACAGAACAACATGTAGTGCTCCTCCGGGCACAGCGGGCAATTTCTCCTGGGCTTTCCCTTGTACTGAGCAGCGGTGTATGAAGATTTTGTCCTTGGTTGTTTGTCACTGCGTGACCCTCCTGATTTATGATTTTCAGGTTGCTTCTTGGGCTCAGAAGCTGGCTCCAAGTTCTCCCAAGCTCTGACTTTAGACTTGAGAAACTCATGGAGTTGCGTATAGGTTGGCATGATATCAGTTAAACCAAGACTAGTCTCCCAATCTTCTCTTACAGCGGGTGGCAAGCGGCGTAGCGTCAGGTGAATGATCATCAAGTCCCAGTTGTTAACCGGAACTCCTTGAGCCTTGATTGAATCCAAAGCTTTTTGATTGGATAAAAGCAAGGCGTCCAATTTTGCGGCAGATCGTGCGGGAACTGACTCTCCTACCAACAGATCTTCAAGGTGCGATGCCACTACGCGACGAGGATTCGAATAGCGGCTCTTCAGTAGATTCCAAGCGGGCTCAAATGAGTCATCAGTTGATGGCATGTTACCAATAAGCTGATGGGCTTCCTTTTCGGTGAAGGTCTTCAAATAATGCATCTTCTGACTGTTTTTAAGAAGTGCATTGTCAATAACGATATCAGGAAATAGCTGACTAAAGGATCCCCAACGTTTAAAGTCACCAGAGAACGTGTGGAGCTTGATCTTTGGGAGCCCCGTGCCAGATGACCCACTCATGTAAGCGGTGCTGTGCATAGCCAGAGTGTTTTGTGCTTGTTCTGCGTCTCTAGCATCAATTTCCTCCTGGATTGCGTCTTTGCGGGTGGCTATACGAGTCTCCAGTGTGGTGTACGATGCGTGAGCAGTCGTATAGCGGTTCCCAGTGTGATACTCGTGCTGCAGTACCTCCGGATACATTTCGAAAATTAGCGAATTCAGGTTTGTGATCTCGTGCCACAACCTGTAGCCTTGATTTTGAGCTGCTTCAACAGCAGTCATTGACAGCCTGTTGAGCTCATCATCTGTTAAGCGATCCACCATGGCTTGCAAAGCATCCAGGTACTGCTTTTGCATGGCGATAGCTGACTCAAACTGCATTACGTTGTTCATAGTAGGCCCGAGGTCGAGTTTTCAGTCGAATAAACGGAAAGTTCAGCGTACCGGTGTACGAATGACTACCAGGAGCAGCACCCGATGTGCTCCGCGATGCTCCTGACACTCGACCCTTCCTAGCGGTAATAAAGTTCACTTAACACAACACAGATTTTTAGCGAATCAATTAACTAAATTAATTGAGATAGAGCCAGCCTGATCCGGCTCGAGGGACCAAATGTAAAATGATGAAAGAGCGGAAAAACTAAGGATCAGGTTTCGGTCTGGTTATCTCAATTAAAATACAAAAATTATTAACAAAAATAACACTAGAGTTTATTTAACTATAATTACAATCAATATTTAAATTGTTTAATAGCGGATTGGTTAAATAAAAGCGGATATGTTATACACAGCGTGGTTAGCAAAAGCGAAGCCGTTTAGCACGTGGTTGAGTAAACTGCCGGCACTGTAAAAAGCGGTAATTACTGCACAATTAATTATAATTAATCTGAAACAAATTAAATAAATTAAATGCAATCAATTAAAGCGAATTAAACTATAAGAATTAGCGAACAGCGGTTAATTAGCAAGGCGAAAATTATATATGCGAAAAAGCGACTTGTTCGTACGAAAGATGGATGCGAAAGATAATAATAATAATTCGTCTTCTTCCTCGTCTTGGAGAAGAAGGCTACTGCGCATGTCTAACGAGAGCGATAGCCAATCAATAAATTCGTTCTATTGATGTCGACATCGATAGCCAATGGTAAAATTCGATACCTGTTGCGTGATCAGTCAGGCGGTTTTACGCATGCGGGTGAGAAATAGCGGGAACGATGGCTTGTCAGGTGCGTGTTGTAAATTTGGGGAGCCCACAGTGACGTATTGCTCACTGAGTGTGCCTGTTCACCGAACAATAATTAAATAATAATTATAAAGCTCGCATACGCTAATTTATTCATTTGTCTTATATTTTCTATTATAATTATTATTATTTTATTGATAAAAGGATAGTATTCTGAGAGCTGATTCAAACTTAAACAATTTCCTCGGAAATTTCGATTAATTTCATAAATGTTCATATTATTCGTATTCTATTATTGATAAAAATTATGATAAATAATAATTAATATTAAATAACAACGCGATTTTCTAAAAGTCAGAAATAATAATATTAATAAATGTAATTGTAATTATAGTACATAAAAGAATCATTTGGGAAAAATATTAAAATTAACTTGAAAATATTTAATTAGTAAAGAAATAAATTTGCTTGAAAAAATGAACATAAATTTATTGAATAGAAATTTGACAATTTATAAAAATTGTAACATTAATTGAACAATAGTATTTTCTTTAAATTATTTATAATAGTTATTGTAATACCCAGAAAAAATTTGAAAAAATACAAAACCACAATAACATACCAATTGTATATCATTACACAAGACGTAGCAATGACAAAAGAATTAACTATACGGCCGATTGTTTTACAAATAAAAGACATAACTTTAATTATTCTACTGACATACCATTAAGAGACCAATTAGACTTCACAAGACTGAACGACAAATACTGGTGGTTAGCTGAGGAAACACCACACAGAAAGCATCTTAGAAAAAGATTAAAAACTGGCTGGACAGCCATTTACTAATATGGCCATTTGTACATACTGTATTAATTTTAGTAAGTAAGGAATAATTTAAAAAGAGAATAATAGCATAGATGAAGTTTTATATAATTTTACATCACAGCTTTAATTTAGTGAATTTTATTAATTATTATATTTTACTACATATGTTAACAGTGACTATAAGCCTAATTTAAATTTACTTAACTTTCTGTTATTGAAACTAAAATAATTGCGAGATGCCCGCTTACAGGGACAATCAATTATAAAAATATTAAGATAATTAATGGCTTGTTTATAAGTTAATTTTGCAGCCAAATATATAACTATAAGACTTTTGTATCCATTTAATGCAAATAAACTTTATTAAAAAAAAAAAAAAAATAAACCTTGGGCTTGTGGCGGAGAGGATACCGGGTTCGATTTCTCGGTGACACAGAATTATTTTTTCGATGAACTAAACTTCTTTTTCATTTGAGTGATAGAAATTTACGATGTTGCATCGTATAAATTATAATGTTTGAGTTTTGGTCCGGCACTACAATGTTTTATACTAAAAACTACGATGTTACCATCGTAATTTTTCATAGGATTTTCTTTCCGTGTAAACAAGAAGCTTGTTCAGAAATTTTCCGTCGGTAGTGTGTTACGGCCAGCGTAACTAGCCCTATATTTTATATATATATATAATCATCTCCAAATTATTATTTGAATGTAGATAAATCTGAAACTTATATTTTTCATACTGAGGATAATCCCTGTTAAAAACGACGATACTCGCTCGCATAACTCCGTCCCCTCTGGTAACGAAGAAGAACCAAGGCCGCGTTACCCCGTTTTTCAAATGGGTGGGATTTAGGCAACCCAACCACCAATCCGACTAAACCTCGATGCTACCATGCCTTATATGGTTTTATGTATCCTGGTACCAATAACGCGTACTCTAGCAAGACCCCTCGCCCGTCTTTGTTTAACATGGCCGCTCTCCTTGGAAGAGGCTCATAATTTTAAAGCAAAAGAAACGTGCTTAACTAACTAACTTTTATAGTATAATAATCTCGTACTAAAGAAAAAATATATATATTTCTTACAATTATCCACGGCCTATATATTGACCTACTTCTTATTCAATATTTTCATTTTTCTTATTTTAATTACTCTTGCCCGGAAATATTCATTTAAACCGATACGTTGTAAAATTAATCCCATGGTACTAAAGTATCACAGAGCTAGTTCAATACTATTTCTTTCCCAAGAATCATTCAAGTTTTATTAAATACTTATTTCAATAACATATGGATCGAGTATTTCGAACAAGTTAATAATAAAAAAGCATAGAGGTATCATAAATTATGTTTAAAAGGGAAATAGTATTAATTCAATCCTTAATTTAAATTATGTTGACTGAAGAAACATTTCATTTGCCTCCACAATAATTTTCAAATCATAATCTAAGTTATCAGTAAAATAACTTCACTTCTCAATATAATATTTAACTTGGGGTACGTATCGTAAAAATTCCTTTTGTTTCATTCGATTTACTCGCCATCCCCTTTGTCCTTTTTGACATTCAAACTATTTTTAACTCTACAGCGTTTGATGCTCGTACCCAGCTACCTACTCGGGAATTTCCCCTCCGCCGCCATCTTGAATATTTAATCATTTCCAATAGTTCCTCGCGTGATGCCCCCTTCCAAAAAGAGGGAACGTAGGCGAAACTCTCAGACAAAGAGCTCGGTACCCTATATAAACCGCAAGTTTTTCGCCAGTCACGGGGTACGCTACGAAGATATTTCGCAAGCACATCGCGTTAAGTTCTGCTACCAAGTTATACTCTTTCAAATAAAACTTTATTTCAAAAGTGCGGATTTCAATTGTCAATTTCGGGTTTTTATAAATTATCTCGGTAATACCTAACTCGAGTAAAGAACCCTACTGAATGGTAATTTCGGTATATTTTTGCAAGCAAGATATAAAGAAAAAAAGGGTATATCTTCATCCCCCACTTGGGTTAATTAAATTATCTAAAAACGTAAAACAATTAAAATAATCCGGAAATTCGGAAATCAAGTTAATTAAATAAAATCCGATAGTTCGTTCAATAAATCTAAGTCGATTATAAAATACCACAGTAATACCTCTATCTCAAGCAAGGAAGGCGTTAAGTGTGTATAACGAGAAACCGTAATAAAACGGCCTGTAATCTTTCGTCACCCAAAAATATATAATAACGGTCATACTTTTAAAACTATATTTCGGAAGTTATTAATTAACGTCAAATTGCACAAGAATGTAATTATCTGATACCACAATCAAATAATTAATTAATGGCAAGGACATCAGAAAACATTTAGATTCGTGTCGAATATTCCAATAGTTTGAAATATTTCTTTGTTTTAATAAAGAGTTTACTGCTCGGAAAGCCCCTCCATTCATAGTAAACTCACATGTCATGACGAGAGCCCTCGCTTAGTTGGCACCTCTCTTTCTAATACACGACTAGGGTACTAGGCATATTCACTTCATTTAAAACAAATTAAAATTTGCTTCCAACCCACCTCAGGAGGAAAAATTCAGAGAGGGGAAATTTGATCGTTCCTTAAAAACTACCGCTACTCCAAAAAGCCTCACTAGTATCCCTTTATGCCCGAGTAGTTAATTACACTCAGTTTCTCAGTACGTTCCTTCAGATAATTTTTAATAATCTAATATCGAGTCAGTTCGAGCAAATATTATAATCGCGTCAAAGTTACCAGTGTATCCAGTCAGTTTAAAATCTTTATTCAATTATACCATCTATTAAAATTAAACAATAGAATAAACCAGACCGTAAACAAATTTTCCAGTTTATAAATTATTCACCCCGGTGCTATTCCTTCCCTTTTGTCTACCTGCACCAGCCGAGCACGAGCCAGCGGTCGATCACCACTCCATAGCATTTTTCTTTATTATTATCAGGTACAAATTATTATTTATTTTATTTTATTTTCTTTTCATTAAAATTATCTGGTCTGATTGATGGTGATAAAAGAGTGAATTATACGTGTTAATTAATTTCAATATATTATTTATCGGTCATTCTTTAAAAATTATCTTATCCCGCGTACTCGATTTAAAATCCTATAGGCGAGGTTCCCGCCCCCCTGAACGAAGGCTTTCAGTAGCTAGATCTAAAATCCAGAACCTAATAAAAATAATTATTGTACTTGCGTCACTCTGGACGTAACATTTGTCATCGGCAAATAACCCATATTTGCAATATGCAATCCGTCGTGCTACTAGGTTTATAACCATAAGAAATAATATTGGTCCTAAA